GGACTGGGGGGCGCCCCCCCAGGCCCCGTTCCACTCACCGCAGCTGCCGCCACCCGGAAAGAAAAACACCGGCCACGGCATACCTGCTTTGGTGATGCTGGCCCATTTCTAGTCCGGGGCCCTACTCCGAACCGGGGTCCCCTTGCCTGGGGTCCTGGCTATACCAGGCAGGAAATGGGCACGGACAGCGGCTGCGTGTACAGCTCGCCTCGCGGAGCGAGCCGACAGCTCTCGTGTTCGCCGCAGGGCTGTCCTGCGACCGTGGGCGGGCTTCCGGCCAGGGATGCTTCGGGCCAAGCCCTCTGGGACCGAGGATACACGATGATGCCAGGGCCGACACAGAGATGGCCACATCGAGTCGTCTCGCGCGTCGTGCTGGCCATTCGCAACCCATGTCTTTGAATCCAGCCCTGAAGCGAGGACGGATCGTAGAGAGGTACAGCTAGCAAGCAGCAAGCAAACTTGAGACATCCTAAGGATATCCTCGGTCAAACAAAGATGCCATGGCCGAGGATCGGGGATGCGGCAGGCTCGTGAACCGAGGATGAAGGGTACGAGCCTAGAGATCCGACGCTTCGAGAAAATTGGAGCGGCGGGTTTGAGGCAGTTGTCAGTCTCTTGGGGCCCTCGCTGGGCCTCGGGAGTGGTCCGGACTTCCGGGATCCACGCATCGAAGAAAAAGGAGCAGCCAGATGTCTGGGAATATGCGCGGCTCGAGGATCGATGGTGTGGCAGGTTCGTGGACCAACGACCGAGGATACGAGGACCGAGGATACTGTAGGCTTGCGGACCGAGGATCGACGATCGACCATCGCTTGCAGGGATCGTGATCCAGGGATTGAGAATACAGCCACCGTGCTACCATGCGGAACGCTGGATGAGATCGGAAGGAAATGTTCTGGCCACGGTGAGCCTCAGCCACGAAGAGGCACTCCCCCGATCCGCATCCGAGGGACGACCCCCGAGAAGCACAGCCCCCACCCCGAGCCCAGAGCGGTCTTTGCTCCAGCGTTCTGGCTGCCAGCCCTGCAGGCCTGTGGCACGCCGCCCTGCCTCGTGGGGCGGCGGCGGGCTTCGAAGAGAGGCTCGGAGAGCTGGCGCCGGTGGGCGCCCCCCGTGCGCCTGGCAGGCCGGCCGAGGGGCGCGCCACGGCTACCGCCCGGGCCGCCTCGTGGGCGCCCACGAGCGCGGGGTGGGGCGGCCGACGTTTGACTACCTACCAGACCACCCCAACCCAACCCGAAGACCCGAATTTGACCCGAATTTCGGGTTGGGGGGGGGTACGGATACCATGTGTTTTTTCAACGTTCCCCGACCCCCCCCCACTGGAAATCGAGGATAAATTTGGGCCTTCGGGTTGGGTTGGGGTGGTCTGGTGGGTGGTGAACGTTGCGCCATGCCGCCGGCCGTGCCGCCTCGCAGGCGACGGTGGGCGCCCCGTGCACGGGGCGGGTCGGCCGAGGCTGCGCCGCAGTGCCGCGCGTGGCGTCTCGTGGGCGCTCGTGGGCGCCCCGCGGGCCGAGCTTGCACCGCACGGCTCGCACCACACATTCTTGCACGACACAGTGCTTACACCACATGCGTCACACCGCGAAGCCCACACGACTTCCTTCGAAAGAAGAATCGACTCTACCGCCTCCCGCCGGGGTTGCCAAGCCCCCCTTGGGCAATCAAAATTACAGATGCTGATGCCGCATCGTTTAGTTTCCACATGAAGACATACCATCCCAGCCCAACCGGCGTCGACCCCCCCCATCCATATCCAATTATATCATGCGCAAACCCTCCTTCATCTGACGAGTTATGCGTTCACAAACCCTTGGCGGAAAAAAACACGCGCACACACATACACACACAAACAAACACAAACACAAACACAAACACACACACACACACATACACGGTCCAAACGCGCAAGCACATGTCAAAATACAAGCAACACACATTTGCGTCGCAAGCATTTCAAAATAAAAGCAAAAGAACCCCACTGGCCCTTCAGGGCACGAGTGGCTCAGAGCGCTTCCTCTTCCAGCCCCCTACCAACCGCTGCCCCACACTCACAGACACCCCCTCCTCCACCCGGCTGCGGGCCAGCCCCGGACGTGCCGCCCCCTCCCCCACCGCCCCTGCCAGAGAACAGAGCAGAGCGCGCTCTGTCCCCAAAAATCCTCGAGCGCGCGCGGGCGCCCCGCGACCCCTCTCTGCACGGGCCTCGACAGGGACGGCGGGGGTGCCGGCAGGCTGCTTTGTGGCGCACGAGCCGCGCGCAGGCCGACCGCCCCCGTCGAAAAAACGGTACACCCTGCGAAATGCTTTAGAAATCATGGGTTAAGAAATTGAGAGTCTCAGAATTGAAATAAAAACCCAGAATGTCCATTCAAATCTTAGGATTTAAATTGAAACATTAAGAATAATCGAGACTCTGGCCGAAAACTCAGGTTTTCTTAAGCATCGCCTAAGGTGTACAGAGGTGCACTGCGCCTCCAACTCCGGAAGGCACGCGAAGGGCGCCGCGCGGGGCCCCTCTGCGGGTGCCCCCCGCGGCCCCTGCGCGTGGGCTTTTGACTGACGAGGCCGGCGAGGGTGCCGGCATGTGGATATCGAGGCGCGCGGGCCGGCCGTCCCTGGCCAAGAAAAGGCCCGCTGCCTGCAACTCTGAGGCACGCGCGGGCGCCCCCCTCCGCCACCTTCCTCTGTTTTCCACTAGGGTACACCTTGCGAAATGCTTAAGAAATCATGGGTTAAGAAATTCATAGTCTCAGAACTTGATTAAAAACCAAAGATTTCTATTCAAATCTTAGGATGTACATTGAAACATTAAGAATCATCGAGACTCTGACCGAAAACGCAAGTTTTCTTAAGCATCGCCTAAGGTGTAGGGGGGGGGGGGGGGGCAGCCCTTGTGCACAGCGCGCGGAGAGGAGGACTTCGCGGGCCTCCCGACTCCCCGTCTCTTTCCCTCTTTATTCCATTCTCGGTCGGCCCTCCGTTTGCTTTTTATGGTGGATGGATAGTCTTTATGCTGAAGCACCTCCGGGCGTCCCGTGTCGCCCATTTCGCCATGTCTGCACGGTCCCACCTCTCAGGGGTTGCAGGGCCATCATCGGAACAGCACTCGTCGATGCCGGGCTCGTCGTCCTCCTAATTGTGCGTGTCAACGACATCCCAGCCCACATCGTCCCACGGAGTCGTCGGTGCACCTGAACCCGTGGCGCACATGGCATGCGTGGCGCTCCTCGGCGATGTGCTTCGGAAGGCGTCAGGCTGGGTCGCTTTGTGAGGGTCTTAACGGCTCTTGGAACCGTCTTAGTGTCCTCTGGGGCATCTCTTAGGGCTCTCTCGGGTAAATTTGGGGCTCTCCAGCAGGCCAAGAGGCGGCCGCCGGATTGAGGAGAAGGAGTCAGAAGCATCATCAGTGTCATGATGATCATCGTCACCATCACCGCCTTCCTTCATCATCGACGTCTTCCTCAACAACAGCATCACTATCGTCGGGAGAGCCATGGACCGCATCATCACCATCAGAATCATCATCATCATCATCATCATCATCATCATCATCATCATCATCATCATCATCATCTTCTTCATCATCTTCACCATCATCAGCATCATCATCAGCATCACCATCATCATCCACAGCATCATCATCATCATCATCAACATCATCATCATCGTTCTCCTCGACAGCCTCATCATCACTAGCAACAGGAGCATCATCAGCATCATCATCAGCATCATCATAACCATCATCAAGCGCATAATCATCACCATCAGCATCGTCATCATCAACATCATCATTACCAGCATCAACATCATCGTCATCACCATCATCCTCATCATCACCAGCAGCATCATCATTAGCATCATCACCATCAGCAGCAACAGCAGCAGCAGAAGCATCATCATCATCATCGTCGTCATCATCATCATCACCAACATCATTGAAGGGGCCCTGGGACACAGAAATAAATACACACAAATAACAGGATTCCCCATAGATTCCCATATTTTATAGGTTTTTGTCTTCCCCCCCAATTCCCATATTTTCCCCTACTTTCCTGGGAGTCGAGGATGAATTGTGCCTGTGTGTTTCTTTCCCTCCTGATTCATGAGCATCATCACCATCATCATCATCATCATCATCATCATCATCATCATCATCATCATCATCTTCATCATCATCATCATCATCATCATCATCATCATCATCATCATCATCATCATTACCATCGTCATTATCTCATCATCATCATCATCATCATCATCATCATCATCATCATCATCATCATCATCAGCATCATCATAGTGGTCGTCGTCATGATCATCATTGTCATTATCGTCAGCACCAACTCCACAATCATCATCACCAGCAGCATCAGCATCATCATCATTGAAATCATCGTCATCATCCTCATCCTCATCCTCCATCCTAGTCATCATCATCATCATCATCATCATCATAATCGTCATCGTCATCGTCATCGTCATCGTCATCGTCATCATGATCATCATCATCATCATCAGCATCATCATAATCATCATCATCGTCAGCAGCATCATCGTCATCATCATCATCGGCATAATCATCCGTCTCATCACCATCCATACTGGTAGCATCACCACCATAACCATCATAACCATCATGACCATCATCATCAGCTGCATCGCCATCACAATCATCATCCACGTCATCACAATCACAATGACAATCACCATTACCATCATCAGCACCAGAATCATCATCCTAATCCGTCTCCGCATCAGAACCAGCAGCAGCATCATCATCATCATCATCACCACCGACGCCATCATCAGCATCATCATAACCATCATGACCATCATCATCATCGTCATCGTCATCATCGTCATCGTCATCGTTATCGTCATCGCCATCGTCATCGTCATTGTCATGATCATCAGCAGCAGCATCATCACCCAAACCACCATCATCATCATCAGCATCAGCATAATCATCATCAGCAGCAAGAGCACCACCACCACCACCACCACCATCGTCATCATCATCGTCATCGTCATCGTCATCGTCTTCATCCTTATCATCATCATCACCAACAACAACATAATCAGCAGCAGCATCATCATAACTAGCATCAGCATCATCATCGTCATCAGCATCATCATCATCATCATCAGCATCATCATCATCATCATCATCATCATCAGCATCATCATCATCATCATCATCATCATCATCATCATCATCATCATCATCATCATCCCAGAACCTATCCCCTGGCGGTTTCTGGGTCAGAGCTCGGGTTTCCGGCGGCCCTTCGGAACGATCCGGGCACCCCAGGAACGCTCTCGACGAGGCGTAGCCGCTGAAGGTATCGCAAGAGTCGCCGCCAAGAACCCTTTTTAGCCTATCCCCCTTAACGTTTCGGGGAGACGTGAGACTCTGGTGCCGGGGACTCGGGTTGGCCTGACGTGGGCGTCAGGGAAACGACGAGACCCAGCCTGAAACTTGACACCAGCTCCCGATGCAACCATCCGACAAAGCCTGGACCGTCGAAACTCAGGACGGGCACGCCAAAAAGCGCCGTCAGACCCGAGTTCTGGCGAACTCCAGTCTTTCGGCGGTGGACGAACCTCCCTTTAGTAGACCTCCCCTTAGTGAAAACGGCCTGGGACCGAAACCGACGGAACTGGACCCGCAAAAATGACGGCCGCGACGCCCTCTCGCGAACCGAAAACGGCCCATTCCTTAATCGACGTGTCAGGGTAGGAGGTCTGTCCACCCCCGAGTCTTGCCTTTCCCCTCAACGTTGCCCCCGATCCCTCCCAGCTAACCGCCGAGGAGCCTCGGCGCCGCCCGCTGCCGCGGGCGCCTCCGAGCCCAGCGGCTGCGGCCGCGGGGACCTGCCCGGGGGCGCGCCCGCGCGGAGGGGGCCCGCGCAGAGCAGGGCCGCGCCGCGCCAGGGCCGCCGCCGCCGCCGTCGTCGTCGTCGTCGTCGTCGTCGTCGTCGTCCTCCTCCTCCTCCTCCTCGTCGTCGTCCTCGTCGTCGTCGACGTCGTCCTCGTCGTCGTCCTCGTGGTCGTGGTCGTGGTCGTGGTCGTGGTCGTGGTCGTGGTCGTGGTCCTGGTCGTGGTCGTGGTCGTTGTCGCGGTCGTTGTCGCGGTCGTCGTCGTCGTCGTCGTCGTCGTCGTCGTCGTCGTCGTCGTCGTCGTCGTCGTCGTCGTCGTCGTCGTCGTCGTCGTGGTGGCCGTGGTCGCGGTCGTCGTCGTCGTCGTCGGCAGTCGCTTCGGTGGAGGCAGGCGCCGCCCCGCGACTCCTCCTGCCCGAGGGGGGGGACTCGCTGGGCTCGCTGCTCCGTGCGCGGAGGCGGCGCCCGCTGCCCCTTGCCCGAGGGAGACGGGGGGGCCCTGACTGCTGAAGCCGGCCATGAAGGAGGAAGCGGAGGAGGCGGAGGCGGAGGAGGAGGAGGAGGAGGAGGAGGAGGAGCAGAGGAGGCGGAGGAGGAGGAGGAGGAGGAGGAGGAGGAGGCGGACGACGACGACGACGACGAAGACGAGGACAAGGACAAGGACGAGGGCAACGAGGACGACCACGACGACGACGACGACGACGACGAGGACGACGACGACGACGACGACGAGGCTACGCATGCCCGCCGGCGCTTGGCGGCGAGACGCGAGACAGCTGACAGCTACAGAGCGCGCGCGGACTAGTCAAGGCGGGCGTGGGCGCGCGCCCGAGGGAGGGGGGCAAGCGCAGGCCGTGGTCTGGCAACTTGGCCCTACGCGGGCCCGCATCGATGCCAGTACGCTGCAGCAGGCCCTCTCTCGCGCCATCCACGACATCCCAACCATCCAGAATCGGAACGGAGCGGCGCCGGCACCAGGCACCGAAGGACCAGTACCCTCTCTGGGCAGGGCGCAAGAGGCCGTAGCCTCAGATCGTGTGGGTGTAGAAGGTGTGGCCGAAACAGTGGACGAACTGGCGCATACAGAAGACTGGAGGGAACAAGGCGCGAACCGGCACAAGCAGAAGGCGTGTACGAGATAGTACACGACCCATGGCAAATGGAAGATGAGGAAGGCGATGTTCAGGATCGTGCTCGTGGTCGGTGTTGCCTATTGGGCTGTGCTTGCACTGTGGTCCGAGCCGATGTGGAAAGCTGCCCTTGGACTCGCTCTCTTCTGGCACCGTTTCGTTTGGAGAGCGCCCACCCGTCCCCACACGGCCGCGGTCAGCCTCCAGCAACTGCGCTTCGGGGGGGGGGGGGGGGGGACACCGTTCCCCCGCTGGCCGCCATACCTTGCGACTCGTGCACCGAGGGGCCGCTCAGCGCGGCCGCCATCTCGCTTTCCAGGGCAGGGTGGAGCTCTCGAGGTCCCCCTGAATTTGTGAATCCCTTCTGGACCTCAGCGCCCCCCTCCAAGGTGTTTCACGGGTGGACGGGCACGAGCAGCTGGCCACCACGGCGGCCGCCAGGCCGGGCTGCCGACGTGTCGGCAGCCATGGCCGCGCGGAACTCGCCTGGCCTCGCCAGGCAGCAGGGGGGCACCCTGTCGGCACTCGCACGGTCGAGGCCTTTTGCTTGGCGTGTCGCAGCGGCGGCCCCGGCGACACGCCATGCCCTGCAAGCTGATAGAGCAGGGGCCCGACCACAAGAAACCTTCCACAAGAAATCCAACCCTGAGACCCCAGGACGTCCATGGGCTTTTGCTGCGGGAACGCCACGCCCTCCGCAGCAAGCCCACCCCCACGGGCCCTAGCATATATATATATATATATATATATATATACACCATGCACTCCCGGCGTGAGCCTTTGCGCGGTATACGCTGCGGCACCTGATGGGCCGCAGCGCAGCATGGAGGGCCGTGGATGGGGTGGTGTCGTTGGATTTTCTGGTCGAGCCTGGGGACAGCGACGTGTCGGCGAGTCGCGCCGAGGCACGGTGGGCCAGCAGCGGCGCGCGCGACACGCCGAGCCGGAGCTCCCGACCGCCGACGTGAGCGGCAGCGGGGCGGTCTCGCTGGCGCGCGGGCTCCGGGGCTGTCGGGGCCCTGGCGAGGGCCCGAGCTGCTGGCCACGACGCTGCCCCACTGGGGGCCGCCAACATGGGATGCCAATCGTACCCGATCGCATGCAAGAGCGAGGCATTGAGCAGACATGGGCCGCTCAGCCCCCATTGAAGAACCCCTGTTGCAGACCCCCTCTTTCACCCTCCAACCCAGGCTGCCCGCATGGGCATCCCAGCGATGGGAAGGGTGTAGGGGGAGAAGGGGGATGATGATGATGATGATGATGATGATGATGATGATGATGATGATGATGATGATGATGATGATGATGATGATGATGCTGCTGCTGCTGCTGCTGCTGCTGCTGCTGCTGCTGATGATGATGATGATGATGATGATGATGATGATGATGCTGATGATGACGAGGAGGAGGAGGAGGAGGACGAGAAGGAGGAGGAGGAGGAGAAAGAGGCGAAGGAGCAGATGGAGGAGGAAGAGGAGGAGGAGGAGGATGAGGAGGAGGAGCAGGAGGAAGAGGAGGAGGAGGAGGCCTGCGTCACCGTCTCGCGGCCTGCCCGAGAGCAGAAGAGCAGCGGCCCCGCACAAGCCCCTCCTCGGACGCGGAGCCTCATGCAGGGGCTGCGAGGGCCTGCCTGCCGGACGCGTGCCCGGCACAGCGGAGGTGGCCCAGGGGAGAGCCCAGCTCTGCATTGGGCCCCTCGCCTGGGCACCGGCTTCGGAGTGCCAGGTCTGGTGTGTGCAAACAGGGGTTTTGAGCTCAACGCCCGCACAGCCTTGGTGAACACAGCAGCGGCGGCTGGGACAGCGCTGCTGCTGGCAGTGAGGGGTACCTCACTGACCGACAAGAGTTACACGCGCAGTGGACATTACATTGTTAGCGCTGCTGGTTCGCTGTGGTGTGCATGCGAACCGGCGTGATTTGTGTCACCTTCAGAGGGTCGTGTAGGTCGCCTACGTGCCCAAGCGTCGGGCGCCGCCGAGCATCTAGCTGCTGTGGCTGTGGGCTGACTCTCGCGTGCTGTGAAAGCGACCTTTTAATATTACAAAAGGGGCACCCCAATTGCACGGCAACGAGGACGACCCAAGTCGCAATCGGTGAGCGGGCTTCAAGGTGCTCGCCAGCGGTGGCTCTTTCTCGCCTGTGGGCGGCACCAAGGGTCAAGGCAACTCAGGATTCAGAAGCCTTGCCCTGCCTATTAGTCGCGAAGAGAGAAGCGTGGCGGAAGGCCGCGATGCCGCCGACCTCGCTGCGCCGAAGCCGCCGACTCTTCTGGCATGCAACATAGCGCTGCTGAGCCAGGGTGCTGCCGGGAAGACTTTTTCGTTCGGCGGCGCCTTGGATCGTAGCTGCGGTCGTGGCTGCGGCAGGGCTGCTGCGGTGCAGGCCGCCAGGATGACATCCGACTTCTTAACAGGTCTCCTGGGTGTGTGGCGACGGCCCTCGGAGCCTGGCCAGCCATCGCCCCACGACGCAACAAGGCCATGGCTGAGCTCGTGATGGGTCTCTCCCCTCCCTCCGGGGCCGTCTCTGCCCAGGCCTTCCAGGGGCCCGCGGGTTGCTGTCCCGACCCTGACCCCGCCCCTCCTCCGCCTCCTACTGGTCCTCCGCGGGCCCCCTGCGAGCCCCAAGACCATGCCCACGTATTTGTGAATGGCAAAGGCCCACGCCGCTGCTCAATCTGTCGCACACGAGTGCGCACTGATGAGCAGTGCGTGGCCAGGTTGACCGAGCGCTGCCCAGGCCACTGCAAACACCTCTCAGACCTTGCGACGGATCCCAGGGGACATACTCGTTCCATATGGATCAGCCCGCTGGTTTCTTGGCCTGCCAAAATATGTGGCTCTTTTGCAGAGTGCGGTGGCAGCGGTTATCCAGCGTCTACCAAACGTCACCTGCAGCATAGCGACGCTGCTATCCAGTGAGCCCGCGCCCAGGATGGTCGACACCCACGGAGCACATGAACGGCTTCCCCCATGGGTACAAAAGGGAGGCCTCCTTAGTCTTCCGGGTTCCTCCAGGAGTTTGAAGGTTGGCCGACACCTCCAGGAGTACAGAGGCAGGCCCAAATAGTCTGATTCCCCCCGGCAACTCGCGCACGATCCGAAGGAGGGCGGAGGGAGAGTTGAGGGCACCCATTTTTAGTGGCGAAAAGCCGAGTTCAGCCCTTCCTGCAGTCCTCCTGGTCTGAGCTCGTGCGACACGCGCGCGCGGGAGCAGAGAATGAGCGGGAGGCGTGAAGTCCTCCAGCTGCTGCGGTGGGGCCGCGGCGGATTGAGCAGATATATTACCCAACGGTGTGCTCGTCCTCCTCCTCCTCCTCCTCCTCCTCCTCCTCCTCCTCCTCCTCCTCCTCCTCCACCGCCTCCTCCGCCTCCTCCTGCTCCTCCTCCTCCTCCTCCTCCTCCTCCGCCTCCTCCTCCTCCGCCTCCTCCTCCTCCATTCCGTTTCCTGATTCGTAACTCCTCCCTGTCGCACCCCGAGGCCGGTCGGGAAGGCGGGCCGAGCGTTTCGCCCGAGACTTCCTTACCATTTCTGATCCTGAAGCTTGAAACTCACAAGAGCTTCACACACGGAGGGCGGGTCGCTTCCAAAATGTGACTCTCGCCTTAGCGCCGCGCACATTCGTCTTTCAAAAAATAGCCTGGCTCAGAACCCAACCATATGCAGTTGTGAGCACCTCAGTTGTGAGGATCGTCTTCGGTGGAGCTCCCCATGGGGCCACGAAACGTGTGAAGGGTGTGCCGATTTGGGGGGGGGGCGTATATGAACCCTACCACTGGGAACTTCTGTGGAGCTACCTATGGGACCACGAAACGTGTGAGGGGTATGCCGAACGGGCGTGACGCCCACATGCGAACTGCGCCGCTGGGACCTTCCGTGGAGCTCCATACGGGGCAACGAAACATGTGAGGGGTGTGCCGGAACGGGCGTGACGCCCACATGCGAACTGCACCAATGGGACCTTCCGTGGAGCTCCCTACGGGGCCACGAAACGTGTGAGGGGTATGCCGAAACGTGCGTGACGCCCACATGCGAACTGCACCACTGGAACCTTCCGTGGAGCTCCCTACGGGGCCACGAAACGTGCAAGGGGTGTGCCGAAACGGGCGTGACGCTTACATGCGAACTGCACCACTGGGACCTTCAGTGGAGCTCCCTACGGGGCCACGAAGCGTGCGAGGGGTGTGCCGAAAAGGGCGTGACGCCCACATGCGAAGTGCACCACTGCCACCTTCAGTGGAGCTCCCTATGGGGCCACGAAATGTGTGAGGGGTGTGTCGAAACAGAGACGATGCAGGGATGGGAGGAGGGAGGAGGGAGTAGGGAGGAGGAGGAGGAAGCAGTGAACGCGGGGCGCTGTCTCTTCAAAACGAGGACCCAACACCGCAGGATGGTTGGGAATTGCCAGAGTTTCACGAATTGGTGGCGGGTGAGTTTCCAAATCTGGCTATCGCCCTAGCGCGGCGCACGCTCGTCTTTAAGATAATTGCAGGGGTTGCGCGAATTGACGGCGGGTGTTCCAAATATGGCTCTCGCCGTAGCGTCGCGTACGTTCGTTTGTATGTCAAAAATGCGAGAATGTCACGAATTGAGGGCGGCCCGCTTCCAAAATGTGGCTCCCGCCATAGCGCCGCGTACATTTGGATCAAAAGCTGCAAGAGCTTCACGGTTTGAGGACGGCTCAAATTCGCATGAAAACTGAAAGAACTTCACGTATTCTCATAATTAACGTACCAGAAATGATGCTTCGGAGCGGTTCAGGATTGTCTGGGCGCAGCAGTTGCATTGAGTCGCGGTGTCGAAGTCCCAGGAATGGTATACTGGCATGATTCAGCAACGTCAAGACGCATCAGGCAGGTTGGCGTTGGAGTCCCGAATGGTGTTCTGGCACGCGTCGGGATCTTCAAACGGTTGTCTCCCAACGGGACACTTCCATCAGTGGGAACGAACCAGAGTAGGGGCATATGAAGAGGGAGGTTTGGGGGGTTATTCAAACATCGTTGATGGGTCTTGGGTTTGCACTGGTCCTCGTCCTCACCATCATCATCTTCATCCTCCTCCTCCTCCTTCTCCTTATCATCCTCCTCCTCATCCTCCTTCACCCCCACCTCCTCCTCCACCCCCACCTCCTCATCCACCTCCACCTCCACCTCCTCCTCCTCCACCACCTCCAACTCGTCCTCCTCCTCCTCGTCCTCCTCCTTCTCCTCCTCCTCCTCCTTCTCCTCCTCCTCCCCCTTTTCCTTATTAGTACGAACTTCCGCTCTACAACCCAGCTGGCCGACAGCCGCCCGACCAGGGTGGTCCCATCCGACCTGTGCTGAACTCCCAGTCCACGTGTTGCGTCCCAGCATGGACGTTATGTCGCGTATGTTGCTGTTGCAACATACGTGGCAAGAACGGGACGGGGCGCGCACCCCGCGCGCGAAAGGCCAGAATGCCGGCATCGCCTCGGCGCCGCGCCCATCTCCAGAGAGCCCGCTCGGGCGCGGCACGCGCACGCTCGCCCGCGCGCGAGCGGGCGCAGGTGCCGCCCTCGCCGCGGCGCCGCGCCGACGCTGCCCGCAGGCGGCGCTCCCGCCCCGACGCGGCGCAGATCTGTCGCTCGCCAGCTCGGGGGGGGGGGGGGAAGGGCGGCGCGCGAGGTGAGCGACTTGCCGCCCCCTCGCCCGAGTGCGCCGTGCGCAGATGTGGCCCCCGGAAGCGCGGCGCGCTGCAGCGCGGGCGCGGCGCCGCGCAGCAGGCCAGGCGGCGGCGGCCGCGGGGGCCGCGCGCGAGAGAGCGGGCGGAGTGCCGTGCCGCCCTCGCCCCCCGCGCCGCGCAGCCTGCGAGGGGAAGCGGCAGTGCCGTGTCGGCGCGGCGCGCGCGTCGTCGTCGCCGCGCCCCCTCGGGAGGCTGGCCGCTCGTGCGGCCCGTGCGCGGCCCGCGCGGGTCTTTTTCTCCTCGCCGAGGCATCGAGAGCGGAGGAGCGCGCGAGCGCCTTCCGTTTGCGAGGTGGGAGCGCGTTCCAACCCCAATGTCAGTGTGTGCCCCAGTGGACTATCGCAGGGTGGGAGTAGGTTGGGCCCCACGACTCGCTCGACCTGGCTAACTTGACTCCTGCTCCTCCTCCTCCTCCTCCTCCTCCTCCTCCTCCTCCTGTTACTCTTTCTCCTTCTCCGAGTACTTTTCCTCCACGAGGAGGATGAGCAGGAGGAGGAGGAGAAGGAGGAGGAGGAGGAAAGAGAGGAGGAGGAAGAGGAGGAGGAGGAGGGGGAGGGGAAGGGAAAGCAGGAGGAGGAGAAAAGAGGGGGAGGGTGAGAGAGGAGAGAGGAGGAAGGAGGGGAGGAAGAGCAGCAGCAGGAGTGAGGAGGAGGAGGAGAAAGAACACTAGGATAACTAGAAAGACGAGGAGGAGGACGAAGACGCCGGCGACAACGACGAGAGAGGATCAAGAAAGGGTGAGGGACGAGTCGGGTGATGCTGGCGATGATGAATATCTATGATAACAGTGATGATGACGATTATGCCGTCAACGCATCATGAGTCATGAAAAGCCCCTGTTACAACCCGTTTTCAAGGAAGGGCCAAGAACGCTGCTCGGCAAAGCAGACGATGAGCCGCTGGCCAAAGCCACCATCGAGAGAGAAGTGCACGACTGTGATGATGACGGCGACGACGACGACAACGATGATGATGATGCTGACGATGATCGGTGCGCCGAAGACGAGAACCAGGAAGAGTCGGGGGCGCGCATCATGGCCCGAAGCATGCGCGCGGACGAGGGGGGGGGGCAGGGAACGCGTTGAGAGAAGACGCGGGGGATATGAAACCCAGTGAGATATGTGCCCAGGCCATCACATCCACCACCACCCCTAGTCGTCACCCCCCTCGTGGACGCCCCCACAGTGACGAGGGCCTGCGCACCCCCCTTGTGGTGCCGAGAGAGTGTCACGCCTGCCGCGCCCCGCGACCCTGCGACGGACGGAGACCGCGGTGAGGGACCACCCCCTGGCGCACGCCTCTGCGGTTTGGCGGCGCGCACAAGGGGTGAAGGGAGGGGGAGGGCTTCTTAGAAGGAGGCTGCTTCTTAGAAGGCGCTGGCCTTACATCTATAGATAAGGCCCGCGCCTTCTAAGAAGCAAGGGTGCTTCTAAGAAGCCCTCCCCCCTCCCCCCACCCCCCTCTGCGCGTGGCTGAGCGGTGCCGAGCAAGTGCCACGCACGCCACGCCTTGCGACCCCCCCCCCGGACCCGGTCCCGGTCAGCTGGGCCAGCTGGCTCCTCAGCCCCTTCACCTCGGCGTGCAGCGTCTTCGCCCTGGTCCACCTGGCGCCCGCCGCCGCGGCCGCCGCCGCCGCTGCCGTCGTCGTCGTCGTCGTCGTCGTCGGCGCCGTCGCCGTCGCCATGGCCGTCGCTGTCCTCGTCGTCGTCGTCGTCGCCGCCGTCGTCTCAAAAGCAGTCACCCGAACCGCCCCAGAACCGCGGAAAAAGGAAGCGGAGGAGGGGGAGGAGAAGGAGGAGGGACAGGGGAAAGAGGAGGGGAAGCAGGAGGAGGAGATCGAGGAGGAGGGGAAGGGGATGAGCAGAAAAAGGGCGAGCGGGAGGGGAAGGACGGGAAGGGTAAGGGGGATGTGGGGAGGCTAAACAGGGAATGCGGGAGGAGAGGAAGGATAAGGGGGAGAAGAAGGAGAAGAAAATCGCACACAGGCTCAACGGGCACAGCCCACTACCGCACAAAGCAAGGAGGAGGTGGTAAATAAAGCTGGAGAAAAGCGAGGATGGAAGGATGTGAACGCGAAGGAGAAGAGGAGAAGGAAGAGTGGAGAAGGAGGACAACGACGACGACGAAGATGCCGACGACGACCACCACCACGAAGACGACGACGACGACGACGACGACGACGACGACGACGACGACGACGACGACGACGACGACGACGACCGCGACAAGGACCACGACCACGACCAGGACCACGACCACAACCACGACCACGACCATGACCACGAGGACGAGAACGACGTCGTCGACGACGACGACGACGACGACGACGACGACGACGGCGGCGGCAGCGGCGGCGACGGCGACGACGACGGCGACGACGACCACGACGACGACGACGACGACGACGACGACGACGACGACGACCACGACGACGACGACATCGACGCCCATCTTGCGAATATGCGATCCCCGAAGCAGTTGTGACTTTCATCTGCTTCTCCCTCCACCTCGCCCCCGCCATCGGCGTGCACAGACCGACCCCCCTTGGGGGGGAGCCTCTTGCCATGCCAGCGCCCGGGAGAGGCACTCTGCAGCGCGCTCCGCGTGCGCACCGCGTCGCCACGGCCCCAACGAGCGCCGACGTGCCCGCGGGCAGCTCACCAACCCGAACAGCGAGGGAGTCTCCCGGCGAGGCGAGAGCGCCGCTCCTCCTCCTCCTCCTCCTCCTCCTCCTCCTCATCTCCTCCTCCTCTCCTCCTCCTCCTCCTCCACCTCCTCCTCCTCCTCCTCCTCCTCCTCCTCCTCCTCCCTCCTCCTCCTCCTCCTCCTCCTCCTCCTCCTCCTCCTCCTCCTCCTCCTCCTCCTCCTCCTCCTCCTCCTCCTCCTCCTCCTCCTCCTCCTCCTCCTCCTCCCTCCTCCTCCTCCTCCTCCTCCTCCCCCTCCCCCTCCCCTCCCCCTCCCCCTCCCCCCTCTCCCCCTCCCCTCCCCCTCCCCCCCCTCCCCCTCCCCCTCCCCCTCCCCCTCCCCTCCCCCCCCCTCCCCCTCCCCCTCCCCCTCACCCCTCCCCCTCCCCCTCCCCCCCCCTCCCCCTCCCCCTCCCCCTCCCCCCTCCTCCTCCTCCTCCTCCTCCTCTCAAGCCTCTCAAGCCATCGAGCACCTGGTCAATCCATGATCAGCCGATGCTAGACTACAGTCAGTCCGAGTCGTCAGACTGTGAACGACCGCCGATGGGGGGGAGGAGCAGTGCCTCGTCCTCCTCGTCCCGCACGTTGGCGGGCGGCGGGGGCGGCGGAAGAGCAGCAGGGACCCCAAGCCTGGGACCAACCTGAGGGGCGAGGGAGGACAGAGGAGGGAAGGACGAGAGGGGGAAAGATTGGCCCAGCTTGTGAGGGGTCCCTGGGAGCAGCCCCCTGAGGAGTTTCGACCGTTCGGCACTCTTCTGCGGGGGCTGACATCTCTCAAGGAGGCGTGACCCAGCCCTGGTGCTGGCGAAGCCTCCACAAGAGGAACAGAAAATAACAGGAATATCAGAAGTGGCAGGGGTCGGCTCGAGGCGAGCCCAGTGCAAAGAGTGTCCTAAACCCCCTTCCCCCCTCAGGAGAGAAGCCAAAGACGGGTTAGGACCTTCGCACTTGGTCTTGCACGAGCCCGTGACAACCCTCAAACAGTTCTTGCAACGCAGAACGTTCCCATGGGGAACAGGCTGGTGCTCAGGGCCCTCAGGCTTTGGGACCTTGGCCTTCGTAGGCCTAGTGAGCTTCCCATGGATAGATTCGGTGGACGGAAAACAAACAAGCACAGCAGTAATACCTTCTACAAGACTGAGGTACTCACGCTCTCCTCTTTCAAAGTCAGACAACTCCTGGGGGTTAAGGTTCTGACACTGGGCTGCAACTTTGGCAAACTTGTCTGCATAATCTGATCCGATGATGGTGCACCTGTCGCATTCATCAACGGCCTGGTCAATGGATCTGTGCGCCTTAATCTTCTTTAAATCCACCCAAGGGCCTTCGAGAAGCCTCCTGGAGATTTCACGCCAAAAGAAAGAGAGCCTGGACGCCCCCGACAGGGCCCTAGGAGGGTCACGGGTCCCGAGAAACAGGGACGCACAGTCGACAGAAATGGGCTTCGGGACCTGCTCAGGGGTGGGGTTTTTCCTCCTGAGGCAGGCCACCGCCAACGCACCATGTTCGGCGTCGCTGGCAGCCTGTAGGAATTGGGCAGGGAGGGGGCTGTAAACTCCTCGAACTAGCTGGTCGCCTCTCATTTGGACGACCGAAATACCAGCCCTCGCAATCTCCTCTGTCTCAGGCTGGAGGCATGACCCGTCTGTGTACAGGTCATCCTCTGCTTCAAATTGGAATTCGTCAACTGGGGTCCCGTCACTCCCGAAAAAGAACAGCATCCAGTCTTCCACAGGAGAAGGAAGATCGGGGTACGGGACCCAAAGCCTGGAAAGCAGAAACGAATTTTGATCAGCCCGGTGGACCTGCTCCAAAAAATCTTCTCCAAAATGCTGGGACCGCACCTGCACCACACTGGGGTGGTCACACTCCCAAGCGCGATGCCACTGTGTGTCTCTACACCTTCTGCAGAGGGGGCACCGCTGGTCGATTTGATATCCCCACCCTGCAAGAGCTTCAGCAGTCGGGAGCGATCCCGAGAGAACTTGACAGTACACGTGCAACTGGGCTGCAGGGAGGCTTCGTGCTACTCTCTGCATCATGGGTAGCCATAAGCCTCTTGCAACAAACTCTAGACCCCCAGGAGTGTCTCTGAGTTTACGTGTTATAACTTTCTGGAGCATAGTGTACCTAAGATCTGAAACGAAAGCTTCGGCGACCTGGGCTGGAGGTCGCTCCGTGAGGATCCAACGAAATCCAGTCCGAGAGACGAAAATAGCAGGACTCTCCCAGCTCCATCCGCCAGCTTCCAACCACAGCAGCATGGCCGACACAGGCCCGCGGGTCCGATACAACCATGGCTTCCGCTCTGTTTGTTTAAACACTTGCACTGCTGCATTAAAACTTCGGCTCAGTTCGCCAGGGCTCATCACATCTTGGTGCCTGGGCCTTCCACGAGTAGTCGGTTCACTTGTGTGCCACCACTCCCAGGCATATCTCTTCAGAGGTCCTGCAGCAAGAAACAAGGGGTCACCTCGGTACTTATTTATGGCCCACTGGAGTTCGAGGACACAACCCTTCTTTGAGACCCCAGAGGCCCTGGCCGCGGCTCTTCTTATGTGTAAGATCTCCCCTGGGGTTACTCCCTGCACTTCCATGCCATATGAGATAGTAGACAAAACTCCAGCCTTGAAGAGCCGAGCCTTCACTTTGCGAGGAAGTTTCATGGTCCCCAGGCGTTTGTGTCGATGGACAAACTTAACCAGTCTCTTTCGACGGATAACTCTAGCAGCACAAACCTTCTGATGACGTCCAGTAGTGTAAGCCACTCCGAGGTTCCCAGGAGCCCAAGACGTAGTCCCTGCAAGAAAACCCAATTCAGACTTCACTTTGATCAGGAGGTCCCTAGAGTTGGCGGCAGCAAACATCTTCCGCTCCGAGAGCGGCACGCGCAGGGTGGTGGAGATGTGGTAGGCCAGCGTAGTAGCCAACCCTTTGAGCTGGCAAATACACTCTTGCATGCTAGTACTCCAGCTATGAAGCGACAAATCATCAACATGGAGTCCCTGGCTGGTCCCTTCGAAAACTCTCCCACTGACGACCGTATCCCAGAGAAACGACTTCGCTTCATATGTAGCTGAAGTGCTGCCTGCCACTATGCCTTGCGTCGGGAACAGCGGCGGCGAGTACGCTCCGTCTAGCAACAAGTGGCGCCTCCACCTATACGTGGAGAGTGTGTACAGCATGACGTGCATGGGGAAATGGCTGATGATGCCCTGCCTAACTAGCTCCTCGTGGCCTATGTGCTCATAGAACTGCATGAGGTCCCACAGGAGGCTGGCCCAGTGGATCTTCTCCCCTGAGGCTCTCTCTGAAGCCACAGACTGTCTCCAAACAATGTCTAAACTGCTCCTTCCTTGGCCCATGCTGAACTCGGGCCCAAGGCCGACTTGGGCCTCCCAACTTCGGCACGGGTCTCGATGTGTTTTTCCATGCAAGCGTTCGAAGGCGTGGTAGTGGCCAATGGGCCTGCGGCCCTTGTCAGGTCTCCCCATAAGGAACACCACCAATGACTGGGACTGCTTTGGTCCCTCCCCCACAACGTCCATCAAGTGGTACATCCAAGATAGACAAGACAGCGCGGACTCCCCAAGCATGCTGAAGTGCCTCGGGTGGAAGCCGTCGGGGCAGCAGGTGTTCTGGGGGAACCTCGAGCTAATGTGCCGAAGACGTTCGCCTGGAACAGGTCCTGGGACGTGCATGGGGAAATCGCATCCCTGAGGCAGCCCGAGGTCAAGAGGGTCCCTGGAGGCTTTCCACGCTGCACCCCAGGCGTCTGTCTCGGCTATTAGTCTCGCAGGCAAAGAGCTAGAAAAACTGTCAGCAGTACGTGCAACTTCTTCGTGCACAGGCTCGCCAGCACGCAGATAAGCATAAGCTTGCCTCCCTCCTTTGCTGATAGCCTCGCCGCACCAAGTTTTCCAAGATTCTCTGGCTTGTGTTCTATCTTCAAGTTGCCCCAAGCAAACCCATGGTTCGACAAACAATTGGAAACTGTCGAGGAAATTGATGGAACTCTCAGGGCACTTTTGCTGTAAGAGGCAGTCAGCAACTGAGGCTAGTAGCGGATGCCAATACTTGCCACCTTCTTTCCAGAATCGGCGAAAAGGTCCCCCTCGTTGAGGAAGATCACGCCACTGGTGAAGGAGCAGAGAGCGATACTGCACCTTGAAATCAGGCCGAGCGAAAAGTGATCTCAACTCCTTCACACGCAGATAAACCCACTGGATGGTTCTCCCTGGAAACGATGCAGAACGCTTCTTCGTGGCAAGGAGTTCAGACAGCCTGGTCTTGACAAACTGGAGAGCAGCGCCTCCAGGCAAACCTGTCCCCTTGACCTGAGTGGCTGCAACAACTTCTTTCCAAGCCCGTGGAATCCAAGCCTCGTAGACACGATTTAGAAGCTCCACTCCACGACTCTTTTCGTTTCCTACAGCCATGAACGTCGACCCCGCGTCATTCAACCTGGGCTCAAGGAGCGCCTTCAGGTCGTCTTCCAGATCAGTGAAATCCCCTCCAGGAGGGACGGGGCCAATACCAGGGCAGGCGGGAGCCTTGAGGTACCTCTTGGGCACATCAACAAAGATGTCCTGGATCGCCCGCTGGATGTGAAGCTGGACAGGTCTGTGGGGGCTGAAGGGGGCACTGTAGTCGGTCCTAACCCATGGCACAGCGTGATCCAGATTCCTATGCAGGACGAAGAAGTCGATGGTGGAGGATCCTTGGGGCACAGCATAGGTGGGGACCTCGGGAGCCCGAATGACAGCTGAGACCTGGCCCATCGGGGATCCGTCGAAGAACACACTAGGGCTCATGTTGAAATCTCCTCCAAGGACATATGGGAGCCCATGTTGAAAAACATCCTTCCAGACAGCATTCATGATGCTGGTGTTGTACCCCCTGAGGCCCTCGGAGTCCTTTAAATAGATCGAGTAGATGGCGAAAAGGCCCAATTCACTGCTGCGGAAAAATGCTCGCGCAACTCTGCCTGGCCAAAGCTCAGCAGACTCACCAGGCGGCACCCACGCGTCGTAGTGCTTCCTGGTGCAAATAAATGTGCCACCAGACGGGTGGCCACTCTCTGACTTGATGCACTCACAACCAAATATCCTCCAACCAGCTCGCTGAAGTCTGGCAACGGTCCGTCGATAGAGAGCTCCATGCAGCTTGTGCTCCTGTAATAACACCACGTCTGCGGAAGTCTCCCTCATCAAATCATTAAAGCCAGGCGTAGACTTATCCCGACTTTCCATTGATTCACTCTCTCGTGACTCAGTAATCCAGCTAGACCCATTGAAAGTGACAAAGTCCAAATCCCGCTTCACGTCAGAAGATTTAATACGCTGGCATCTCTCTCCTGACGTCAAATCACTATTGGTACAAGTAATAGACCCTGAAGCTGGTGCAGAGCACGTGATCTGCGATCCACTCCCAGCAACCGTTCCACCGCATCTCGATGTCTGTGGCAAAGATGACCCAGCCGTCGAGGACAATGATGCACACGTGGATCTGGGAGTCCATGGCCTGACACCCTCATCAGGGCCTGTGGCCTCTGGGGGGCAGGCACAATCATGCAAATCGGAACTGGGTTCCGAACGTGAAGTGGCAGGGCTCGCAGAGGTACATGTCCCTCGCAGTGAGGGTGTGGGCAACTGGCTAGAGATCTTCTCCAGCCCCTCCAGCCTCCTCCCACAACTTATTTTCAGCAGCAGATCCCGTCCGCGACTGAGCAACCCCAAAACTTGGCTCGATATGTGGTCCGCGCTGTCCACCTGCAGCTGGGGAACGAAAACGTGGCTTCTTGGCAGCCACTCTGAGGTTGTCGAAAAGCTGCCTCTTGATCGCATCCGAGCACCCCTCGACTGCTTCGACAGCCTCGATGATGATGGTCTCGTCGACCTCCATAGTAGTGGCTGCTGGAGGTGACGCTGGGGCTGGCCTCTCTGGGCCTGGCATTGCGGTCCGCAGCTCATCAAGAAATATCCGATACTTGTCTTCCAGTGAAGACCGTAACTCATCAGATTGTACACCAGAGAGAGTGGCCGTGAAACCCGATAACTGCTGAACGAAACCCTCGAGACTTGGTGGGGCAGAACCCCCCACCGTGGGTAGTGCTGCTGCAGCCTTCGCTGCAGTCTCCTTCTTGAGATTCTCGAGAGCCTCTTCTTCTGACTTGACAAGATACGTGAGCTCCTCCTTCTTGGTGAGCAGCTCCTCCACTTGGACTTCGATTGCCTCGAGGTCCGACTTGAGCTTGTTGATCCTCTTCTCGGCCTTCTGCTGGTCCTGCTCAGCACGGAGCAACACTCTGGATGGCGGCACAGAAGCACGGCGTTCGGCTTGAGCCATTTCCCAAGCTTGAGAGATCGCGGCACAGGACGCATCTGGTAAAACTCCCTTGAGCTTTCCTCCCGAGACGAGTTGGGACAGGCGGTGAAGCTCGTCATGTGCAGACACACTGTTCCTGGGCGGCTTCCGATCGACGTCCGTTGGGCCTCCACCTTTGCCTTTCCCATATCTTTCTTTGACTCCTTTAGAACCTTTCCCGCCAAGCTTACCACCCTTGCCACCTCCGACGACAGAGACCCACGGGGCGTAAGTCCACTCACGACGAGGAGGAGGAGCACCAAGCTTCGGCAGCGTTTGTTTGCAATGGTAGCAGAACGAGAAGTACGACGGGTTCTTCCTGCAGCCGCAGCTGGGGCATACAACCCCTCCACCGCGCTCATAAGAATCACCACCTGGGGCCATCCCACGCGAGGCGGGCGGCCGACGAAGTGGACACTGGGGTCCACACGCGAAGCGGGCACTATGGGGGCCCTTCCCGAAAGCGACAAAAAGGCTGAACCCCTTGACCGAGGTTGGGAAGTTAAGGAGCAGGCCCCTTGAGCCAAAATGGCTACGGCTCCCCCTCCCCCTCCCCCCTCCTCCTCCTCCCCTCCCCCTCCCCCTCCCCCTCCCCCCCCCTCCCTCCTCCTCCTCCTCCTCCTCCTCCTCCTCCTCCTCCTCCTCCTCCTCCTCAGCGAGGCGAGGCGAGAGCGCCGGCCCGGGCGTCGGGGAATAAATTGCGAGGAAGTGTCGAGCGGCAGTCGTTGTCGTCGTAGCCGGGCCTGCACCAACTCGAGTGGCTTGCGAAGGAGTCGCGCGCGAGAGCGCCGGTCCCGACTTGAGGTGCCTCTCTGGCAAGGGCACCTTGGCTTGAAGGGAAAAATCGAACGGGAGCAATGTTCGTTGCAGCGGGGCCTGTACCAACTTGATTGAATCGGGGGGGTCTCGAGCGAGAACGCCGTTCCTAGATTTGGGGGGGAGTCTTTGCCTACAGCGTCTCGGAGTAAATTGTGAGGTATCATCGAGCGGGAGCAGTTGTCGTCGAAGCTGGGCCTTCACCAATTTGAGTGACGTTCGACAAGTCTCGAGCGAGAGCGCCGCTCCTGAGTTCGGAGTCCTCTCTGGCCAGGGCGTCTTGGGATAAACTACAAGGAAGTATCTGGCGGGAAACATTGTCGTCGCAGCTGGACCTTCACAGACTTGAGTGGCTTACGATGAAGTCTCAAGCGAGAGCGCCGTTCTGAGTTGGGGTACCTCTCTGGCAAGGGCGTCTCGGGGCAAATTACGAGGAAGTATCAGGCGGGAGCCGTTGTCGTCGATGCGAGGCCTTCACAAACTCGAGTGACTTGCGCGAAGTATCGACCGAGAGAGCCGTTAGTGAGTTTGGGGGGCCCTATGGCCAAGTCGTCCTGGAGTAAACTGTGAGGAAGTATTGAGCGGGAGCCGTTGTCGTCGCAGCCAAGCCTTCAAAGACACACATTCCGAAATTGCCGGCATCGAGGCGAGAGCGCCCAAAACCGCTTCCAGAGATCAACATACATGAGTAATTAGTCGACGAGGACGAGGACGCCAACGCCGACGCCAACGCCGACGACCACGCGGACGACGACGACCACGACGACGAGGACGACGACGACGACGACGACGACGACGACGACGACGACGACGACGGCGACGGCGACGGCGACGGCGACGGCGACGGCGACGGCGACGGCGACGGCGACGACGACGCCGACGCCGACGCCGGCGACGACGGCGACGACGACGACGACGACGACGGCGACGACGACGGCGACGACGACGACGACGATCGCGGCGGCGACGGCGGCGGCGGCGACGACGACGACGATCGCGGCGGCGGCGGCGGCGGCGGCGACGACGACGGCGACGACGACGAAGATCGCGGCGGCGGCGGCCTGCGAAGAGCAGCACGGCGGCGGGGCCTCGCGATCCGCTCCTTCTCCTCCGGGCTCTCGTCGCCCACTGGGTGGGTGAGCTTGTCCACGATGCCCTCGAACAGCTGGGAGCCGCCGGGGGCGCGGGGGCCAAGCTCCGCGGCGAGGAGGGGAGGAAGTGAAGAGGGAGGGGAAAAGGGAGGGAGGAAGGGATTCAGACCCCCTCGCGCTGTGAAAAAAACACGACGGGCCGACGGGAAGTTTTTCGCTATGTTCGGCCTCCGGGGGCCCTTTCCAGGCCTCGGGACCGTCAACAAAACGACTCAGAACGAAAAACCGGCCCCGGGGAAGGGGCCCAGACCTCTGAGGGTCGACGCTGTGAAAAAAATCACGACGCCAGGGGTCTCGGGAGGGATGAGGGGAGAGAGAAGGAAGGACGCTTTGGACCTTCTGACCGAGCACCCGGGAGGGTCGTGCGCGGGGGAGGGCAGGGGGCGGAGACGACCCCCGCACGGCGAGCCCAGACCCAGGCAGGACCTAAGCCCAGGCACCTCCGCGCCGCAACAGCCAGACAGCCATGCCCCCCACCCCCCCCCAACGGGGAGCTGCCATGGCGGAGGGGCCGCCAGCGTCCCCGCTGGGGGCGCGCCAGGGGGGCGGAGGCGGAGACGAAGGCGGGGGGCGGGCGCGGCAAGGGCCCCCCAGGAGAACTCCTCGAGGCCCCGAGGAGACCTCCGCGAGGCCCCCGAGGCACGGCGGCGGTATCGGCGGGAGGCCACTGGGTCTATTCTACAATGGCTACCTGAAGGTGTCTCGGGCTGCTGGTATGCATGGCGTCGAATCGGGCGTGGAGCCTCCTAAACTCTCCGTTGCTGCAGGACGTGTTGCCATCACGCGAATATTGACGCCACGTCGGGCACCTTTCGCATGCGCTCGCCTGCGTTCAAATCCGCCGCACCCCGCAGCCTGCCGCGGGGATGCTTGGCGTGCCAAGGTTTACAATATCGCTCGGCCCCTCCGAAAAAAAGGTTCCCAACGGCCACTGGTCCAAGCCGCTGGTCCCGCAGGGAAAGTGGGCCCTGGCTGACGTCCCGTTGAAGACGGCCCTCGCCAGAGGGCCAAGACGGCCCCAGATGGCCTCCAAGACAGCGAAGATGGCCCTGGCAAGGAGGGCAAGAGAAGCAGGAAAAGAACCCCTCGAGCTCTCTCCTGCGCCGTCCCCTCAGCAGAGGCGTTTCTCCCAAGTCCAGAAGGGAAATCCAACTGGCGGGGGGGCAGGAAAAGAAGGAGGAACTCTCCTGTCATGCTCCATCAGACATCTGACGCCTTTATTTTCTCGACGCGGGGTCCCTGGACCAGTCACGACCCGTTCCCCCGGGGCCGGCTTCTCATCCCCAAGTCGTCTTTTGACGGTCCTGGGGTCGATCGCAGCTCCAAATTGACTTCTTCAAGACGCTGGATGAGGAGGAGGAGGAGGAGGAGGAGGAGGAGGAGGAAGAGGATGAAGAGGAGGAGGAGGAGGAGAGGAGAGGAGGAGGAGGAGGAGGAGGAGGGAGGAGGAGGAGGAGGGAGGAGGAGGAGGAGAAGAAGGAGAAGGAGGAGGAGCACGCAGCTGATGGGCAGTTCGTGTGCCAGGGAGAGACTCATAAGGCGTGCATGCACAATGTGCTGCAGGGGCTCACACTCACGCTCATACGCAGAGGCAAGAGCGAGCGGACACAACGACGGGCTCGAACGAGTGGACCGACACCAAGGAAGCCGGCGGGGGAGGAGAACGACGACGACGATGACGACGGCGACGACGACGACGAGATGCCCTCCTGCCCTTTGCTCCCTCCCCTTCCTGCACCCCAGGGGGCGGAAGTCCGAATTGCCCGTGCGCGCGAACCACTGGCGAGGCGAAGCAGATGAGGAGGAAGAGGCGGAGGAGGAGGCGGAGGAGGAGGAGGGGGCGGACGAAGAGGATGCAGTAAATCCCTCATGATACATAGATCGGAGAAGGAGGAGGAGGGGGAAGAGGAGGAGGAGGAGGAGGAGGAGGAGGCGGAGGAGAAGGAGGAGGCGGAGGAGGAGGAGGTAAATCCCACATAATAGGCCGATCTTCCACCACCACTACCACAGGTAGGAGAGGGAGAAGAAGTAGGAGGAGGAGGGGGAGGAGGAGGAGGAGGAGCAGGAGGAGAACGAGGAGGCGGAGGAGGAGGAGGCGGAGGAGGAGGAGGCGGAGGAGGAGGCGGAGGAGGTAAATCCCTCATGATAGGCCGATCTTCCACCACCACTACCGTAGGTAGGAGAGGGAGGAGGGGGAGGAGGAGGAGGAGGAGGAGGAGGAGGAGGAGGAGGAGGAGGAGGAGGAAGAGGAGGAGGAGAAGGAGAAGGAGAAGGAGAAGGAGAAGAAGGAGGAGGAGAAGAGGGGAAGGCGGGGGGGAGGGGAGGGCGCCTCATGGTACTTGCGCTCCTCCTTCATTCCTGCTCCTCATAGACAACTCCTCCCTGTCGCACCCCGAGGCCAGTCGAGAGGGCGGGCCAGGCGTTTCGCCTGAGACTTCCTCACCATGTATGGTCCTGGAGCTGAGAAATTGGCGACAGCTTCACGAACGGAAGGCGGGTCGCTTCCAAAATGTGGCTCTCGCCTGAGCGCCGCGCACGTTCGTTTTGAATTTCTGCCAGAAGTTCACGGATTGAGGGCGGGTCGTTTGCAAAACGTGGCTCTAGCCTGAACGCCGCGCACATTCGTTTCAAAAATTGTAACCGAAGTTTCACGGATTGAGGGCGGGTGGTCTTCGAATTGTGGCTCTCACCTCAGCGCCGCGCGCATTCGTTGTAAAACTTTGCAAGGGTTCTACGAATTGAGGACAAGTCTTGTTCAAAATGTGGCTCTCGCCTTGGCGCCGCGCACATTCGTTCTAAAAATGTGTAAGAGTTCCACGTCCATGGACTGAGGACAGGTCGTTTTCAAACTGTGGCTCTCGTCTTGGCGCAGCGCACATTCGTTCTTTTACACTTGCAAGAGTTTCGCGAATTGAGGGCGGATGGTTTTGAAAATGCGGTCCTCGCCTTCGCGTCACGCACATTCTTTCAAACATTTGCACGAGCTTCACGGATTAAGGGCGCTTCCTTTTTAACACGTGGTCTCACCTTAGCGCCGCGCACATTCGGTTTTAAAGTCGCAAGATGTTCACTGAGGTTCGTGATTAACGTACCAGAAGCGGTGTTGTGTAACGATTCTGTATTGGTTCGTGGTTAACGTACCAGAAGCGCTGATTCGCGGTGCTGAAATCCCAGGAACGGTGTTCTGGCACGGTTCAGGATCGCCAAGACGTAACAGTCAGGTTAACTGGTGGCGTTGAAATCCTGAGAATGGTGTTTTGGGACGCTTCGGAATTTTCACACAGTTGCCCCCCAACGGGACACTTCCCTCAGTGGACATGAACCCTTGTAGTGGCCTATCAAAAACGGAGATTGGAGGGAGTGTGTATTCCAACATCGTTGATGAGTCTTGGGTTTACGCTGGTCCTCCTCCTCCTCCTCCTCCTGCTCCTCCTCCTCCTCCTCATCATCATCCTCCTCCCCCCTCCTCCTTCCTTCGCTCTCCGAGTGTCCATGTTGGCACACCAAGCGCGCAAGCCCGTGCTGGTGGGATACCCTGCAGGCCCGCACCAATGGAGGCCTCCCAAGTGGGGTCCGAGTAGACGGGGTCGGAGGATTGCGTCACATTGCCGATGCATCGCCGATGCATTGGAGATGCATCGGCGACGTCGGCGAAGCATCGGCGCCGTCTGCGTGGAGAACAACGGGCTCCACATGGAGCCGCATCGCCAATTCATCGGCGATGCGACGCCATCCCCCGACCCCATCTACTCCGGCCGTATTTGGGAAGTGAGAAATGGGTGCCGTACAGAACGAGGTACGGGGTTGGACTGAGATATGTAAGAGATAAGACCAGTGGCTCTACCCAATAGGGCGTATGGGATGAGGCAGGAATGTTTTAGACGCATCAAGACCCCAATGACGCGATGCCAACAATTAAAATCCGAGCATGGAATCGGCAGGCTGTCCTGCCGCGGGACCGTCATCGCCCCTTCCTCGCAGGCGAAACGAACACGCGTTTAGGACGAGGCACGGTGCCTGCCTCGACGATGGTCACGTGTGAACGCTTCGCATTGGCAGCACACTGCTCGAACCGATACGGCCGCGTCTCTGCGACCGCAGCATCTACCGCACTTTCCCCTGGAAGCTGTCTTCAAATCGGCGGCGAGCGAGGGGGGGAAATGAGAAGGAGAAGGCCTTCTCAGAAGGCGGCGGGACTTCTCAGAAGCCCTCGCGCCTTCTGAGAAGCTTTTCTGTCTTCGAGGAGGCCTAAAAAGCTTCTCAGAAAGCCAGGGGACCTCCGAACCTTCTGAGAAGGCCTTCTCCTCCTCACCTTCCCCCCCGTCGATCGCCGCCGATCAAAAGCTGGGAGGGCGCCGCGGCGCCTCCTTCCGCATCTCCGGCCTCGAGGGGCCGCGGGGCGGCCGCACGATGCCATGCAGGCTGGCGGCCACCGTGGCGGGGACCTCGCGGCGGGCGGCCCGCGCCAGGACGCTGGGCACCGGCACGGCCACTGCCACCGCCGAGACGACGGCGACGACGACGACGACGACGACAGCGACGACGAGACCGACGACGACGACGACGACGACGACCTCCGTGGCCCTCCATGGCGACGGCCGCGTCCTCCGCGGCCGCGGCCGCCGCCGCCGCCGCTGCCGCCGCCGCGAACGTGAGATAAACACGGGCAGCGCGCGGACGCCCGCGCAGTCGACGCCCCTGCGGCGGGCTCGTGCCGTGACGACCTGCGCGGTGGTCTCTGCCGCCGCGTGGATCGTTCCGCCCGGGACGGCCGCGGCTCTCCGATCGCGCTCGCCGCCGCTGCCGCCGTCGACTCCGCCGCCGCCGTCGCCGCCGCAGCCGCCGTCGCCGCGGCGCCACGCCCCGGTCCATGAGGCCGGCGCGTGGCGCTCGCTGGGCTGAGAGGTCGTCGTCGTCGTCGTCGTCGTCGTCGTCGCCGCCGCCGCCGCCGCCGTCGCCGCCGCCGCCGCCGTCGCCCGACGCCGTCTCCGTGGGCGTCGCCGTCGCCCGACGCCGTCGCCGTCGCCGTCGCCGTCGCCAGCGGCGAGGGCGGGCGGGCGACCGTCTCGCGCTTCCTCACGAAGTCCTGCCGACGCTGCCCTCTGCTCTTTCTGCTGTTCCTCCTCCTCCTTCGACCCCTGCTCCTCCTGCTCGTATTTCACCTCCTCCTCTTCCTCCTTCTCCTCCTCCTACTACCCCTCCTCCTCCTCCTCCTCTTCATCCTCCTCTTCATCATCCTCCTCCTCCTGCTGCTGCTGCCGCCGCTGCTGCTGCTGCTGCTGCTGCTGCTGCTGGTTTTCCTCCCCTCCCTCGCTCCCTCCTTAGGCAGAGGAGCAGCAGCACTCGAGGGCGGAGGAGGGAGAGGGAGGGGAGGACAAGTAGGAGTTTCACCCGCCCTCCCCTCCCTCTCCCGCACCCTCTGGCCTGGCGCTCGCTTCTCTGCAGCTTGGCTTTCCTCCCACGGCGGGGGTCGACCAACCGCCAGCGTCGCCGCGCGCCCCACTGCCAAGCATGATTCGCCCACTGGCCTCGCTCGCTGGCTTCGCTCGCTGGCTTCACTCCTTGCGGCGCGCGTATTGTTTACGGCCCCGTCGGACGTCGCGCTCGTCTCTCAAAAGACACGCATCCAAAGACAACAACACAACACAACCAAACACACAATCAAACAAACAAACAAACAACCTCAAAACATACACGCACGCCCCCCCAACCCCCAACCTATCGACCCCTGCCCGTGGACCACCGTTTCAGCCCGCGGCTCATCCTGAATCGTTCCTGACGGTCCCAGGGTCCGAAGCTGACTACCTACCAGACCACCCCAACCCAACCCGAAGACCCGAATTTGACTCGAATTTCGGGTTGGGGGGGGGTACGGATTCCATGTTTTTTTCAATGTTCCCCGACCCCCCCCCCACTGGAAATCGAGGATAAATTTGGGCCTTCGGGTTGGGTTGGGGTGGGTTGGTGGGTGGTGAGAAGCAGGCCCCCAAGGGCCGACCATGCAAGAGCAACTACTCGGGCAAAAAATCCGCACTGGACAGAACCCTGGAACCTGCTGCTGGCTTCGCTTCCGCAGCTTCTTCTGCGGGCCCTCCGCCGGCCGGCCTCCGCCTGCGGAGCTGCCCCCGCCTGTTCTTCCTTCCGCTGGCCTCCTCCTGCCTTCCCGCGGGGGGGAGGGATGCGACCAGCCACAACTGGGGGAGCTGTGGTCCTTACCCCCCTGGGGGAACCCATCGCATCGACGATCTCTCGAGAGGGGTGTCGAACTCGAGGGGTCCCCCAGGGGGGTAAGGACCACAGCTCCCCCAGTTGTGGCTGGCCTGGAGATGCCAGCTCCATCGACCCCTCGAAAGCGAGACCCTTTCTGGAGCGCCCCACTTTGGGGATCTCCTGGCCCGGATAAGTCCAGACCCGGGTGAGCCAGGCCCTGCATGATCCTGCAAGGCCCTGCAGGATCGTGCAAGATCCTGCATCCACACCCGGGTCAATGCAACCTTGGCGCTGCAGGATCCTGCAAGATCCAGCGCTCTGACTAGGGGAACGAACAATGACATAAACATGAAAACTCGGAGGTCCGCGCGGATATCTCGGATCCGCGCTGGACCCCCCTGGCGGCGCCTCCGGCGCCGCCCCTTGCACGCTCCGCGCGACAGGGAGGGGGGTCCAGCGCCGATCCGAAAAATCCGCGCGGACCTCCGAGTTTTTATGTCTATGTCCTTCTTCGTCCCCCTGCTGACTGACCCCCGTACATATGAGAAATCATACAAAGATCGTCCCAAGACTATTGTCTGACTGTTCTTGAACATCCCTCCTGTAGGGGGACATGCCCCACCCAGTCCTTGGACGAAAGACACACTGCCCCGGACCCCTTGGGGCGCGGGAGCCGCGGCCTCAGACCTCCATCGCGGGCTCAGACCCTATAGGGCGACGAGGGGGCGCCGCCTCGGTGGCAGCCCCTCGCTGGCCCCAAAAATTCGGACGACGACGACGACGACGACGACGACGACGACGACGACGACGACGACGACGACGGCGACGGTGACGACGATGACGACGACGACGACGACGAGAACGACGGCGACGACGATGACGACGACGACGACGACGACGACGACGACGACGACGACGACGACGACGACGACGACGGCGACGGCGCCGGCGACGACGACGACGACGATGATGGTGAGGGCACGAGCACACCGCGGGGAACGAGCGACGAGGGAAGCCGCTGGCCTCTGGGGGCCGCCGATCGCGCGCGGGGCGGCAGCGGCTGGGGGGTGCACGCGGCGTCCTCCCAGTGGCGCCGCAGGATCTGCCAGCCTGGGGGCGCGGCGTCGCGCGCCCACTGCCTCCCTGCCTCCCTGCCTGCCTCCCTGCCTCCCTCCTCCCATCCCTCCCTCCGAGCGAGGCAGGGGGAGAGAAATAGGTGGAGCACTCGCGCGGAAGAGTCGTGTCCCTGCCGCAACCCAGCCAGGCCACTGCTTGCTGCCAGGAGCACCGACGATGCCCGGAGTGGTGGCCTTGCGCCTGCGGGCAGCAAAGCGATCAATGAGGGAGGGATATCTATCTGCCGATCTGGCGTGTGGGTTTTTGTTATATATGCATATTAAAATAAAAACTTAACCTTCAGCTCTGCTGACGGGTTTGCCGTGGCGGCTTCCGAAGCCCAACGACCCAACAACGAGCCAGCCCTTCAAGGAACTAGCCCGCCATCAAGCTCGATCGACGGACACGACGCAAACATTCCATTCCACACATACTGCCTAAGGCGACTCGAAGAGGCTCCCAAGAGGCCCCCAAGAGGCCCCCAAGAGTCCCCCCCAAGAGGCTCCCAAGAGGCCCCAAAACTGCTCCCAAGAGGCCCCCGAGAGCGCTCCGAAGAGACCCGAAGAAGCATGCCTGAGAACTCTGACCCAAAACTCAAGCACGGTGCCGGGATGGGCCGCAGGCCATTAGATTTAGGTCGGGCATGTCCTCCTACAAGGCGATTTTGAGCGAAAAATGACAAATACCACAAAACATTCCAGAATGGTCAGAAACACTCAGAAATCGTCCCCAGGCTATCTTTTCACTATTTTTGAATATTCCTCCTGTAGAGGGACAGGCCCGACTTAACATTAGATGCTCATCCCTCAAGCTGATCACGCCCCGCAGGGAGCTGCAACGACGGCTCCAGGGACAAGGCTCGCACTCCGCCGCTCCGCCCATTTTGGCACATCCTTCATGCTGATCGTGGAAGTTCTGCGTACGGCCGGGCCGAGAAGATTTGCGCGGCGTCACCGCGCATGTTTCGATTCACCCCTCCAACAGATCGGGGCCCCACAGTGAGCTCCACCTGCGGCCCCTAGGAGAGGTTCACGTGGCGTCCACCCCACCATTGGAGGAGGCATGCCCCTGCGGCATCGTGATGGCCCCCCTGGAGCGCCATCATCCCCAGCTGCATCACGGCATATTCGGGGATGGACAGACCCCCCTTTAGTAAAACGTGGTTTAGTGACAACGACTTCGGGCCCAAACCTGGCGGGCGCAAGCCTGGAAAATAACGGCCGCGGCGCCCTCTCGAGAACCGAAAACGGACAATTTACTAATCGACGTGTCACTGTTGGGGGTTCTGTCCACCCCCGACATATACTCTGAGTACCTCAATCGTTCTGGGCCCCCGGACTACAAGTGCCCCCCGGACCACCAGGGCCCCCCCCTCCTTGGACTACAGGGCCCCCCCCCCGGACTACAGGGCCTCCCCTCGGACTACAGCCCCCCCC